TAAGCAAACCTTGTAGCTGCGCTAAGTCCGCATGTTAACATGTAGCTAATCGATTCGGTGTTGACGCTGAATTAATTTAACTTTACACACAATGAGCTACTTGTTGATGTAAGATAACACATTAATTGATTAACTATAATAGTGATATAAAAAGACTTACCATATAGCTACCAAAGAGGTGGTGATTTCCGGATTTGGCATGAGTCCTGCCAAGAATACTAGAATCTCGAACGCCCAATACTCTAAACTGTTGTAAAAATATAGTTTTAATAAACTTCAACAAGCATATGAATTCGAAACTAACACAAACTACTAAGCTACACGTTCTAGTCAACAAGCATATGAATTCGAAACTAATACAAACTACTAAGCTACACGTTCTAGTCAACAAGCATATGAAGTTAATAGTTGAATGGTTCTTGAGCTGACTTACCATACCATAGCAGCAGAAGGGATGCTTAATGTCAAGTTTAGTACTACATAACGAAATGATTCCATCGAAAATCCGGTCCATGTTTCCTTAAACTTGTCTGACCAAATCACGTAAATTCCGAGAGAAACGAAAGCTATCCACATTGAAATAGATGTAGCTATGGGAGCTCCAATGAATCCGAGGCCAGCTAAATGCACCAGAGCATACGTAGTACCAATATTAATCACCAAGGGAACAAACGAGAAGACAACTAGCGGAGTAACGATGGATTGTGTTTGGCAAAATCTCAAAATGTTTTGTAAGAACCCATAAGCAAATAAACCGGGAGCTAGGTACTTCATATAGAGTGCAGCTTGTTTTGAGATGCTAGGATCTTGTCTGAGAAGTCCGAAAATCGATTCTGTGAAGAACCATAAGATGGTGGTGAGGATGCTGAAGACTAATGAGACGATGCAAGATGATTGAAGATGAATCCCCAACATTCTATAGCTTTTTGCACCAAAGCCTTGTCCACACAATGTCTCAAGTGCTCCACTTAACCCTGTCTGAAAATTAACAAGACATTAAATGTCTTTTCTAAAAAACAAAGACAATGCATATAAACATTCAATTAGCAAACGTTATGGTTAGGGAAAAATTCAGACAAAACTCATAAGCCCATCCACACTTTAGATAAAATTGTTTTCTTTAAAATTCATTTTAATTGATAAGTAACAATATATTAACCAACTTTGGAGAAATGCATGGATAATCATGAATCCAAACTTGAGTTGAGTATAACTTTTTTAAAAAATATAATATATTAGCCTATCATTGAGAAGCAAAAAAGTGTTTTTTAGTAACTTATGCATGTAGAAAGCAAAAGAAAATGTTGGATGCAAATGAAGCTTGGAGGATAAGGAAATAACAGTACCATGAAGGCAAAACCGGTGACGGTAGCCCAAGAATTGGCGAGGGTAGCACCGGCGAGCTCGAGTTGGCCGAGGTGAGAAGCAAACATCACAGAGGTTAAAGGGATACAATAATAGAAAAGATTGGTGAATATCATTGGTAGAGAGTAAATGATTTGAGTCTTTGCTTCTTCAACGTCAATAAGTTGTTGAACATAAGTTGATGATTTTTCTCTTCCTCCTTCACCTTCATGGTCATCTTTGGACGTAGGAGCAGCCATTGTATCTTCAAGGACTTTGGATTTTGGTTAAGAGTAGGAGAAGCTAGACAATTTTTTATTTGTGAAGGTGAAGAACTATATAAGGATTAAGTGGAGAGCTTTAATGAGATGTGTTGAAAGGACCTGTCTCTGTCAGAGGAGAAGCCAACCAATTTCGACTCTCCACAAAAAAACACGAGCGCAAATAAGAAAAATAAGTATAAAATAAGAATGGTACGCAAAATAGTTTATGAAAATATTAAACACAAAACTAAAATAATAATACACAGACACATTTATGAATTTGACGGAAAAAAAGACACATTTATGAGTTTTATATTAACACTCATGAGTCATGTGACTCAACAAGTAGACAAAGCCAGAAATTAGTTCTTGGATTAGGAATCAAGTGTTATATATATCATCTTTATCTTCCTTTTATGAAATGTTTTTAAGTATATATCTCTTATGTATATTGGGAATCAAGTGGATGTATACATATTTAGTAACTTATTTTTACATGTGTATATGAAATGCTTCTGATTATGATGTGTACATGTGTGGCCCTTCTGCCGGCTCAAATAATACTTGGGAGGATTTTTCTTTTGGCCGCCCTATAATTAAATGTTTATTTACTTTTATAAAACTACAATTCAATATTTTTTGGACATTCAAATTTTTCTAAATAACTAGTCGCTAATTTTATTTATTATTGTTTAAATTTTGTTTTTTTTTACCGGATTGGTTTACAGTATAATGATATGGTTGTGTCATTATCCAATTATCCAAATTAAAAACCGACAATATAATGGAAGAAAGAAAAAAAAACTCCTTCTATTATGAGTTTCAGAGCTGGGCCCTAAACCATTGTAGCACCCGCCGCCTTATGTAGCAAGCCAATTCCCTACTATGATCAAGTAGTAAAGAGTTTGTTTCCGGCCACAAAAACAAAAAATCAAAATAAACGGCTACATTTTAGAGAATATTAGTTTGGTTAAATGGTTACATGTATAGGTCTTCTGATGCTGATGGTTGATGGTCGGGAAGCTCTTCCTTCCTCTGAGAGTCTAAGAACCCCAACTATTTTGACTAACATGATTCACCCCTAATCAACATCATTTAATGCATTCATTATTAATCCTAGTCTAATCGTCAAAACTTAATAAGAAGACTGAACTAAAGAAGCAAGTGCAAAGGTAATTGGAGGCATAAACATAATTACGGATACGAGATGTATGATGATGAGAAATCTTCACTAGTTTGATGAAAAGATGACATCTTCATCACCAAAATGTAGAAGAAGGTTCTTATTAGAATATTGTCCCACATCGGTTGGGTTTGTGATTCTTGGACAATATATATGCATTGTGACAATCATTTTCCTTTGAGCTAGTTTTTGGGTGTGAGTTAGGTCCACACTAATATGGTATCAGAGCTTAGGCCTAATTTCGATTGTGGACCACCCGTGGATGTCCAGTCCCAGAAACTTCACGCTTCAGATGTCCAATCCTGAGCGTGAGGGAGGTGTATTAGAATATTGTCCCACATCGGTTGGGTTTGTGATTCTTTCGCAATATATATGTGTTGTTGCAATCCTCTTCTTTTGAGCTAGCTTTTGGATGTGAGTTAGGCCCACACTAATAGTTCTTGAGTCCCAATACAAATTTGAGAAAACTCATACTTAGAATAAGCTTAAATCATGTTGGCACTTTAAAAGTTGGGATAAGAATGGATATGAATATATAGGCCTGCCTTTGTCAATGTGGAGGTCAATCTGATACTTACATGATTCTCCAACTTTTCCACATTGATCTACCTCTGCCCGATGTAAGAGATCGATACGTGATTTGCCTTTTTCTTGCATGGACCATCAGAAGGTCGATGCGAGCTCCATGAGCCTCATAAACTTGTGTTCTTTCCCTTGACGACCTTCCTTTAGCTTGATCCATTCCGCTACATGCTTTGCTTCTCCCGTTTTACGCTCTAATGTATCCGAATTCCATTATTTTGTAAGGTATCTCTACAACAATATAAAGACTCCAGATGCAAACAAAACTCCTAAATATGCCTAGATGCAAAGATAAAGTTTGCTAATACAAGAAAGAAAAAAAGAAAGACTTCAAAGGACTAAAAGGAAATTTATCAAAAGAATCTCCCGAGACAAAAATTCATGGCTTTCTATTAAATTCACATTTTTATTTTCCTTAGTTTCTGTATGAATATTAAGCCGTGCGCCAAACAAAAAGCTCCAGAACATGTAGTCCTGAGACTTTATCACTGTAATCAGTCTGATCACCAATTTTTATCAATCCATGCTTTCTACAAAATACCCAATGAGTCACTTTTTATTCTATTCATGATACTCTAAAAGTCCATAAGATTATGGATCAGAGACTTGTTATGGTATGACGTGATTAAAAATTAGTGACAATTGACAAACAAAGTAGATAATTACAAATTTCTAAAAAAAATAGGTTTTCCATAGCCGGGTTCGAACCAAAGAAACCTATTGATCGATTGAACCCAAGGAAGCCATCAATTGACAATCAAAATGAATTTAACCATTTAACTATTGCGGATCTTTTGTTAAACTATGAATTTACTATATATATATATATATATATATATATATATATATATATATATATATATAAATAAACAGATAATTACAGATTTCTAAAAAAACAAAAGGTTTTCCGCTGCTGGGATTGGAACCCGGAAAGCCATCAATCGATTGAACCGGAGAAAGCCATCGATCAAGATGAATTAAACCAATATGCTACAGCGGATCTTTTGATAAGTTATGAATTTACACTTTATATATCTATTGAATATGTTTGCCCAAAAAAACAAAATAAATAAATAAAAATATATCTATTGAATATGGAAAAGCCTAAACTGTATGATCAAATTTAATCTTGTGGAGAATGATCACGCATCTGAAAGATGAGTAATTATTTGAGTAGTATATAAAGGATCTTGACTTAATTCCGTCGAGATTGGTAGAAAATTATTATCTCAAAAAGACGTGATATATTCTATCAAAATTAATGGCTAGAAAAACTATTATGTTCAGAAAGTGTGTGGACAAAGATCTCATATTAATAAGAAGACACCAGACCAAACTTGTGTAACCCAAGAAAGAGAAAAGAGTTTACATAGAAAGCATCAAAATTTCTGATTTTAGCAAACATGCCAAAAAATCGTCAAAAAATATTAAATCAACTAGGAATTAAAGAAATAGAAAATGAGAAAAGTTTTTTGCTGACAATAACAAACTTGTCTAGCAAATTGGAGAACGCAACTGTAACACCCCCGAAACTGTAACAGCAACTAAGAAGTTGGTTTCAAAAGATAGCTTAAAATGATGCTATAATATTCATGCCATGGCCAACTTTGAGAACCAGATTCTATCTCTTACACTCCAAAAGAAGAAAAATAAAACTTAGAAAGATAAATTATAACAAAGCGTTTGGATGATCATGAGTTCCAAATATATATCTTGATCATAATAACTGAAAATTTTCTTACAAATATTTTATTCCATATTTGCTTAAGAAAATAAATGTGCCTCCGTAGAAAAATGGAACGTAACTAGAGTTTTCAGACCGTAGCAGCATTAAGCTTTGTCCACTTCCGAAAGATTGTCATAAGCAAAAGAGACGAAGATTGGCAAAATATCCCACAAATGAGACCAATCCACAAACCCTGTCACCACCAAAATAATGAATCAAACATAACACTAATAAAACAAAATTTACCAATCTCATAAGAGAGTCAAGCAATACCTTGGCATAAAACTTCAACTTGAAACCACAAAAGGCTGCGATCGGCATTCCTATTAAGTAGAATGTTGCCAAATTTATAACCGTGACTAAACGCTGCCATCCGCATCCTCTAGCAACTCCTGTAAATAAAATTAAAATTGAGTCTTCCCTCGCGTGATGAGTCAAAATAAAATAAAAAGATTTTCTTGGATCTTTCACCTGATAAAACTCCTTGGATTGAATCAAGAGTTATAGAGGCAGCAAGAAAAAACCTCAATGATGCAAACTCCTCTTTAATCACATGACTATTACTAAATAACCCAACCCAACCATCATGACCTACAAGTAAAACAATGACAACGCCGAAAGCAAGAACTAAAGACAACTTAACGGACACTGAGGTCGCCTTCTTTGCGCCTTTTACATTTCCAGCTCCAAGTTCGTTGGACACACGCGTACTGCAAAGTTTTCGATTTTTTAAATTTCCGAAACAATATTTTTCTACAAGATGGAATACAAAGTATTTTGAAACTATGTAATAAGATGAGCAAACCTTGCAGCTGCGCTAAGTCCGTATGTTAACATGTAACTAATCGCCTCCGTGTTGACGCTGAATTTATTTAACATAACACACAATGAGCTATTTTGATGCAATAGATCAATAAAAAACATTAACTAACTAAACAGTGATATTAAAAAAAACTTACCATATAGCAACCAAAGAAGTATTGATTTCCGGGTTTGGCATCATTCCTGCCAAGAACACAAGAATCTCGAATGCCCAATATTCCAAACTGTTGCAACAATACAGTCTCTTAAGCTTCAACAAGCTTATGATATTTTTTATTTTTGTCAACAACATGTATACTATTTGGTATGATTACATTGACTAACACAAACCACTAGACTAGATATAATGGTCAACAAACATATATACTTACCATACCATAGCAGCAGAAGGGATGCTTAATGTCAAGTTTATTACGATATAACGGAATGATTCCAACGAAAATCCAGTCCATGTTTCTTTAAACTTTTCTGAACAGATCACATAAGTTCCGAGAGAAAGGAAAGCTATCCACAATGAAATAGATGTAGCTATGGGAGCACCAATGAATCCGAGGCCAGATAAATAAACAAGAACATATGCGGTACCGATATTAATCACCAAGGGAACAAGCGAGAAGAATACTAGTGGAGTAATGATCGATTGTGTTTGGCAAAATCTCAAAATATTCTGTAAGAACCCGTAAGCAAGTAAACCGGGAGCTTGGTACTTCATATAGAGTGCAGCTTGTTTTGAAATGCTAGGATCTTGTCTGAGAAGTCCGAAAATCGATTCTGTGAAGAACCAGAAGATGGTGATGAGGATGCTGAAGACTAATGAGACGATGCAAGATGATTGTAGATGAACCCCCAACATTCTATAGTTTTTTGCACCAAAGCCTTGTCCACACAATGTCTCAAGTGCTCCACTTAACCCTACCTGGAAACTAAGAGACATTAATTAATGTATGTCATGAACAAACATTTATACATATATACCATTAATGGCCATATATATGTTCTTGAAGATGTCGTTAATAAAAATATATACAACTAAACCCATCTACTAGTCATTATTTATGTCGAATAAATCATTTTAGACAATCTTGATTCTTGAATTCGAATTCGAGTCTATTATTGAGATGGAAATAAGTAACTTATGCAAGTAGACATTAACACAAGATGTTGAATTACAAAAGCTAAAGTAATAAGAAAATAATGGTACCATGAAGGCAAAACCGGAGACGGTGGCCCAAGAATTGGCAAGGGTGGCAGCGGCGAGCTCGAGTTGACCGAGGTGAGAAGCAAACATCACAGAAGTTATAGGGATACAGTAGTAGAAAACATTGGTGAGTATCATTGGCAAAGAGTAAATCATTTGAGCTTTAGCTTCTTCCACGTCGATCAGTTTTTGAACCAAAGTTGATGATCCTCTCCTTCCTCTTTCATCTTCTCCACCTTCATGGTTATCCAACAACGGAGAACTCGTCGCCGGATCAGCCATTGGATCTTCTTGTTGGAAGGACTTTGGGTTTGGTTAAGACTTGAAGAGGGGAATTGTGATTTGGCAAGGTGAGGAATTAAATAAGAGATGTACGCAGAAACAGGATATTAAATACTAAGTTACTAACACGAGGCCTCTCTGCCATTTATTGCCACATTTTAATGCAATATAAATACATTTTAATTATGCCAAAAAAAAATAAAAAATACACTTCAGTATATTAGAGCAAGTCCAATGGTAGAGTCCTTAAAAAGACTCTTAAACATTTTTTAATTATAAATTGTGATAATTTGAAAATTAAGAGTTTGTGTTGAGTCCTTAAATTTTTCTCTGTCCAATGGTAGAGTCCTTAAGTAGGTTTCTCTAAAAATAAAATATTATTTTTAAAATGAAAATTATATACATTTTTATTTGATAAAACAATAATTATTACAATTTCTTAAAATTTTAAACATACATGACATAAAAAAGATATTAAAAAAAAATACAAATCAAAAATCGGAATAACCATTAGTCATTAGCTTGATTCGTGCCAAATCAAAAAATCAGCATCAGTAATTGAATATAACAGCAAATTTATGGAAGGACGAACTATTATGCAAATAGCATTACCTTGTTGTAATAACACAATGTCGAGTGATTGACATTGCTAAAGCATTTATCCAATGTTTCAACAAGAACTGAAAATGCAAGAAACTACCTTAGATCATCATACAATGAAAGCTACCTTTTCAAAGGGTTTACCAGTAAGAATCTGCGAGCAGAGTAATAGGCAATGATTCATATTTAACATCAGTCGATGGCATGCTAAGCCATTATTACAGGACTCAAGCCGGTATTCCAAAAAAGAAAACAACTACGCCTAAATTTGATTAAAGAGAATCTCAGCTCTTGACCCAACCCAATAGCAATCCAAAAATATTCAATACCTAGATATCTTGTAAATACAGTACATCCTATACAGACCAACTGAACTGGCATTTGTGCCAAGCTTAAACGAAAGAGCCAAGACACTGCAAAAGCTCTACTATACAAGACTCTGATTCAAATTTCCAAATTCTCTCTTTCTATATTGTCAAGCCAATGGTTCAAGATATTCAAAACAAGTTACAAATATAGAACTGTCTCATTCCAATCTCAAGCTCTAATCAGAACCTAGAATCAAGCATAAATAGCAAGAATTTCACTTGATCTAAAGATTCTGAGATCAGATGTCAATCAATTCCTCTTAACAGATGCATTTGGTTTATCGTCATTTTTCTGCTACATAATCCAAAATTTCCTCAACTTTTGCTATTTCTACACGGCTGGATCATAGAGAAATGATCTAAAATTCTGCTTAGCTAAACTAAATTATCATCTCAGATCAGTCAATATACGTATTGATAACTAGATATTTAGAAAATCAACAATATAAGTAAAGTAAGAAATTTTTGAATAAGCAAGGAAGTGAAACATACTTGAGACACGATAGAAAACGTCGGCGGCTGATTCTCCCTCCCAGAACCGATAGAAAAATTCCCAAAATCCTATTCCCTTCTTCGCGAATACCAATCACACGGCGATTCGAGAACGACCGTCCGATCTCCCGGAGAGTAGATCGAGTCCGATCATACGGCGAAACGTAGAAGTACACACGCCACTCCGGTGAAGAAGGATTTGATCCAATCAAAGTGTGGAGACGAGCTCTGGCTTCCTGCGCCTGAAGCAAACCGGAATCAGTTAACTCGATCTTATGATCCGGCATCGTTGTGTGTCGAGAATTCCTTCGATCTCATTACTTTGATGATGATAGAGACATATCTCATCTGTGGCCATTGGAGAAAACAAGGAGAGAGAGAGACGAGCAAAAGAAAGAGACACGAGAAAAAAATAAAATTGTTTTGTCAAAATTTTGAACCAATGAAACGGTGACACGTATGGGTCCTTACCATCTCTAAAAACTCTGATTTAAGGTTCGTTCCTTAGCTTAATTAACAGTTTTGATTTATTTTTGGGCTTTTTTTTAATTTTAATTATGCCAAAAAAAAATAAAAAATACACTTCAGTATATTACATCCTCAGACTAATTACTTAAAAGTCAACAAATCAAATTTGCAATGTCTAATCATTGTACACCAATAGGCAGCTCATGAGTCATGACCACCCGATTAACACTCGGGATTTAACTTATCGTGAAAGTTGTGAATAACAAAACTTCATTAAGAAATGTTTCTATATTACAACAATTCACCTGTTTTAAGACATGCTTAGGATTGGTACTAAACTACAAAAGTACAACTAATGAAAACTTGTATAGAAAAACGATGAAAACAGCTCAATACAAGTTTTCATTAGTTGTATTGTCCGTATTTAGAGCGAGTATAGTTTAAAGACGTGGTCACTAAGAGACCAAATCTTTAGGACTTTTAGATTTAAGAACGTTTTCCATACTCAAACTCAAATATGGGACCATCTGAGCAAATATTTATGTTTGTATTTGATTCTTGAAATTGATGACTTTGATGCCATAAGAATGAACAAGTTTCCACCTCACATACATGCCTCGTTTATTTCATTGATCTGATTATGGTTTTTGGAAGAGAGTTTACATAAGTTACTCATCTTCTTGTTTTTTTCTGAGCCATGGTTACTTATCAACTATAACCAACAAAGAAAGATAATTATCTTAAATATCACTACAACAATCCATATTTAGAAAATATTATTTTTATTTTTAATAAATAAATAGAAGCTGGTGAACCCAACAACTATTTCTTAAACATTAGTTGAGAATTGCTAATTTTGTCAAGGTTTTATGACTAATTATGAGGTAGATTTTCAAAAAATAAAAGTCGTAATGCAGCTGAATTCTAAAGTAGAGCTAATTCATTAATCATATATAGAGCAAAATCAATTAGTATAATTCCAATGTAGAAATATTTATATAGCTGAATTTGGGGCTGTCTTTATTTCAATATCAACAACATAACTAGGCTTAAGGTTCAAAGGGACGACATTAAGATATTTCTAGAACGTGTTAAGTTTAACTCAAACTGATGTTTCTGAGACTGAAACATTTTGAGAAAAGACTAACCACGAACATAACAAAGCAAAGTAAAGAAGATACTACTAGTTACATTTATTATTTAAAGAGTAATAGATATGATTTTGGGTCTCCTCTGGTTATATGCACACCAAAGCTTAGACCGTTCCAAGTTCTCACTTGACATAGTCGATGAGCCAAGCGAGCATGTCCATGTGAGCTTCCTCTGCAGCTTCAACTTCTGATGGATCATTTTCATTATATCTAACAGTCCAACCGTGTTTGACTCTTGGGAATATCTTCACAAAACTCTTCACCTAAAACATCACGTAATACAAATTCGAGAAGATATGAAAATGAAACTATATATCTACTTCCGCCACCAGGGTTCGAGGCACGGCCACTGGCAGGTTTACATAGGAGAATTGCCAGCCTCGTGGGATTAGTCCTTGGGCCTAGGAAGTCTTTGGGAGACCCGCGGTTATTCAAAAAAAAAAAAAAAAAGATATTGAGTGGCATAAAGAAATGGAGCAAAGCCAAGTACCTCAGGTTTAGAAGCTAAAATATCTTCGAATTGCCTCACAAGTTCTGGAGGGGACACTTGATCGAGTTCAGCTCCTAATACCGCGATTGGAATGTTGACATCTGCTTCAACCATATATTGAGAGTCATAATCACAAAAGATGAAAGGGAACTATCAAGTAAAGAGTGGCCATATCAAAGATTTAATTACCTTTGATATCATCCACCGTAACACGAGAAGGATGTAACAAAACAGTAGCGTCAACAAGCTTTTGCTTAGCTAGTTCCACTGCAACTTTTGCTAAAGATTAACACACAAAGGAAACAAAAGTCTTGTGTTAACTCATATCCATGGTTGACTTATAACATACAGATCATGGAAAACTTTATCTAAAGACTGTGGCAATGATGGAAACAAGAAAACCAAACTTACCACCCCAACAGAACCCTGCTGCTCCTATACTAGTTATGCCTTTGTTCTTCAAGGCCTCCACTATTGGCTTTGAGTCCTCAAACCCTTTCTCCTACAAAATACATAGTCTGGTTTCAGATACATCGATGCAGAACAGGATCTTATCTTTGCAATCAAAAACAAAGAGCAATGGCATAAACACTGTCTTGATCTATCTGAGCTTTGGAATCAAAAACTAAGAGTGATAGCATTTTGGCATTGAGAATAAGGCCATAAGGGAATATTGCAAAGGTACGGGAAATTTAGACCACTTGAAGCTTGGGAACAAACTCATTTATGTTTTGAGAAATATTAAGGATCAAACATTTGACAAGGAAAAGAAACTAACTTGTCCATGATCTTTTGCCCATGTAAGAAGCGGTCGATCCTTATTCTCGGGATTATAAGGATCTCCATAGAAGAAATCGGGAACCACCGCATAGAATCCAGCTTCTGCAACCTTGTCAGCAAGTTTCCTATCACAGGAAGAGCAACAACCATGACAAGTTACAACAAGAATGAAACATCTTTCGAGTGACCGAGAAAAAGTAGAAAAACATAAATAAAAGTTTCTCAAACAATTACCACCACCACCAACAACATTGATCACCACAAGACAAATAAGCTAATAACACTATGAATCATAAATCATTACAAAAACTTCTACTGTCTTTACAAGAATCATCGACAAGGCCAATTGGTTTTGAGTTGGAAGCCCATATTCTAATATGGTATCAGAGCCCGAACCACACATGTCCAATCCGATCCGACCCAAAGATGGTCCAATCATCGACAAGGCCCAAAATTGATGCCGTCGATCTAAGCCCGAACATTCCGAGATTAATGGCCAAAGAACCATCATCTCGAGGGGGCGTATTAGGACATAATGTCCCACATCGGAAGTTGGAAGGGATCTAAGTAATATATAAGGGATATGGGCCACTCCACTCATTGCCAAATGGTTTTGAGTTGGAAGCCCATATTCTAATATACATCATTAAATATATTAGAATTATGGGTTTCATTTACCAACAACAAGTGATACAAACTATTTTATAACTCGTTATAACAAATACTCTGAAGTAAAAGACTTTCTAACAATCACTAGGGATTCTCTGTTACAGTACCTCAGGTTAGGAGTTTCATATCCTGCAGTAAAAAGATTTTAGATTCTCAAATAAGACCAAATTCAGAAAGAACATTAAACTTTGAATGAAATTGAAAAGTTAGAGAGTGAAAAGGCTTCACCGAAAACATGAGAGACAAGAAGAACAGCAAGCTTTGAATGAGTGGAACCAGAGACGTAGGTGTCAAGGTTGCCGAGTTTCTCGACATGACCTGACCCGCTATTTGGATCCAGATGAGGCGGGTTCTCGGTGCACTGATGACCCGACATTCTTGTTTTTGGCCGAACCAAAACAGGGAGGCTCCTCCTCTCTCTGGGACCTCTGTTTTAACAGACACCTACTACGTACGTTTGCGTATCTACTAATCTCCCACCTACAAAAACCCACGTGCGTTAAATAAAAATTAACTTTTGCAATTTTCATTTTTTTTTTTTTCTGAATATTTAGTTTCATACTATATTTTAGAAATTTTTTGCTAAATGTGATAGTTTTAACTTTTAAGTTTCTGTAATTTATCAAATTGTATATTTTTTTTTAAAACATACTTTTTGGTAAGGTAAATAAATAGTGGAAGGGTAACGACATGATTTTTTAAAAATATTGTTCGCCGTTTGTTTGTTTTTTTTTGGTATCAAATTGTTTACCGTCTTATATACTTTTCAGCGATAACACTAGACGGTGAACAATATTTGGACAATGGACACTAGACATTGTCACTCATCTAGACAATATTTGCATCAATTTTTATACTCATCAGATCAAACAATTGTATTCCACTTAAAAGTCAAAACATATACTTATGCAAAGTTTAATACATACAATTGAATGATTCTTCTATGCACTTATGCAGAGTAAAAAAATCAAAACCCAACAATCAATGATTATTCTATTTCAATTCTCAATTTTATCAAAACTAACAAAAACTGTTTGACAAATTCGTTTTTCTGTGGCTTCCTCTAATCATCTTTATCTTTCAAAAAAAAATATTATATATATATAATTCACAATTTATGTGGCCAGATATTATTTTTTCCTTCCACAAAGCGTTGCCTTGAAAATCACGAGGAATTTATTTGCGCCACCAAAGAGACAAAACACAATTTTTATTTATTTTTTTTTAGTTTCTTGTCGGTTTCCAAGGGTTTTTGTTTAGGGTTTTCATTTTTTTTTTCCAATCTATCTAATCCTCTGTTTCTCCACATCAAAAAAAATGAGAGACGAATTCGTGATAATGGGTTCGTTGAAGGAAAGTCAAAGAAGAGACATGGACGAAGATGAATCAAAGGAGCCGCTTTTGATGGCACAGAACCAGAGATTCACTATGTTCCCCATTAGGTACAAATCGATTTGGGAGATGTATAAGAAGGCTGAAGCCAGTTTTTGGACTGGTTAGTCCTCTTTCTTTTGTTTTATTTTTGTTTTGTTCTCTTGAGTTTGAATTGTGCTTGTGGTTGTGGATGCAGTTTTGATTAAGAAAGTCTGTGACTTTGTAAATGTAAAGGTTCTTCTCTTCGTTGTTTAGGATTGTAATGTAGTCGGTGTTACCTTGTAATCGTCGATGTTCCACTTTGATTATGATTGGTGGAAAACAAGATATTTTTGTACTTCTAATTCTGTTTTTGATTCAGAGGATGTTTCATGTGTGTTGTGGTAGTTCTGTTTCTGTCTTATATTATCATGAATTGTGCTTGTGGTTGTGGATGCAGTTTTGATTAAGAAAGTCTGTGACTTTGTAAATGTATAGCTTCTTCTTTTCGTTGTTTAGGATTGTAATGTAATAGATGTTCCATTTTGATTTTGGTTTGTGGAAAACAAGATGTTTTGTGCGTCTAATTCTGATTCTGATTCAGAGAATGTTTCATGTGTGTGTTTGTTCTGTTTCTGCTTTTATTATCATCAATTGTATGGTTGACTTTTATGAATTGATTGTAGCTGAAGAGGTTGATCTTTCCACTGATGTGCAACAATGGGAAGCTTTGACGGATTCTGAGAAACATTTTATCAGCCATGTTCTGGCTTTTTTCGCAGCGTCAGATGGTATTGTATTGGAGAATTTGGCTGCTAGATTCTTGAATGATGTCCAAGTTCCAGAGGTGAGGATTTTCACTTAGCAGAAGAGTATAGAAAAATCTGTGGCTTTAAATGATTTTTTTAGTACTGTTGACTGGCTTGATATGCTGTGGCATTGTAATATCTTGAAGTCGACACTTGTTGTTTGATTTGAGATAGTCAATTCTCTGGATTTTCAGGCTCGTGCTTTCTATGGGTTTCAAATAGCCATGGAGAACATTCATTCGGGTAAGGCTTTGTTAGTGGAGAAGTTTAAGAAGTCTAGAACGTTTTTCCAGTTTTGATTCGCTGCAAACCCCGAATACGATCATTTTTAACGGATTATATGTTGCTGTTACCTTCCATTTACTCTTAGTGAGAAGAAGAAAACAAAAAAAAAAGCTTAACTCTGGTCATGGTGAATGAGCGTAAACATATGTGGGCCAAGGTATAAGATTTGTAACCAGTAGCCAAGAGAAGCTTGATAGGGTTTGGTTGTTTAAAGATTTAACGGAATATCCTTAGATAGGACTATGGCCTGGGTCATGATCTTGTAGATTTCTCTCTCTGTATACCAAGTAAAAACTGATTCAATACATATTTTCTTATGACAAATATCAGAGATGTACAGCTTACTTCTGGAGACATTCTTAAAGGACTCGAAGGAGAAGGATAGATTGTTCAATGCTATCGAAACCATTCCTTGTATCTCCAAGAAGGCAAAATGGTGTTTAGATTGGATTCAAAGGTACCCAATTGTTGTTGAGTTAATATGCTCAGATCTAATATTCTCTATATGGTTGAAGAAACAATTTCATGTGGTTAATTGTAAAAGATAATGCTAGATTGTTATCTGACTGTGAACCTACCATTCTCTTGCAGTCCTATGTCATTTGCTGTGAGGTTGGTTGCTTTTGCATGCGTCGAAGGAATCTTCTTCTCAGGAAGGTATAATTTTTTAGCTGTTGGAATCCTAGGCATAGAGAACCTATCATATATAGATGCAGCTCTTAGAAGCAAATTTTTGTGTATAAGCACAGTTTCTGTGCCATCTTCTGGCTTAAGAAGAGGGGTCTTATGCCGGGTTTGACCTTCTCAAACGAGCTTATATCGAGAGACGAGGGGCTCCACTGTGACTTTGCGTGTCTCTTGTACAGGTAAAAATAAGTCTGTATGGTAACTGCAATCCACACTGGGTTTAATGAGCCCTCTCTATGATCCAATCACTCTTTATCATACTTCGTGCAGTTTGCTGCAGAAGCAGCTTCCGTTGGAGAAAGTTTATCAGATTGTTCACGAGGCAGTGGAAATTGAGACAGAGTTTGTCTGCAAGGCACTTCCATGTGATCTGATCGGAATGAACTCAAACCTCATGAGTCAATACATACAATTTGTCGCTGACCGTCTTCTGGTAAAAGAAATTAATGTTTTCCCTTTAGTTTCTGGCATTTTGAAACATGAAGTAGCTTTTTATTAGAAGCCATGGATTTATCCTTTTCCGTAGGTTACCTTGGGATGTGAAAGGAGATACAAAGCAGAAAATCCATTTGACTGGATGGAGTTCATTTCTCTGCAGTAAGTAGTCGATATATCGCTGAGTTTCTCTCATCTCTAGGATCACAATGCCATTATAACGTATCAGGAACAGTAGTGACTTAATTGATTAAGTTGGTTTTGGTACTTTTATGACAAAATTTGCAGAGGAAAGACAAACTTCTTTGAGAAGAGAGTTGGAGAGTATCAGAAGGCATCCGTTATGTCGAACCTCCAAAATGGAAGCAAGAACTACGAATTCACGACTGAAGAGGACTTCTGAATGAAACCCCCATCGAATCTGGAAGGGCTCATCAAAGTTAGATTCTTTACGAGTCATCATTCTTTTAGCCCAAAACCAGTAGTAGTAGTAGTAGTAATAGAAGAGGCCATATTTTGACTTCACTTAGCAAAGGATGTTATTTATGTTCTCTATTTCACTATCACTTATGTCTTCTCCATTGTGTAATATTAACATCGTAGTTAAATCAAATCTCATTATTATATAAATAAAAAAACATTAATGGACTAAAAACAAAACCAAAAGCAAAAGCAAGTTTAGGACTTAGATATATAATACTATTAATTGTTATAAATATCTGAATTTTTTTTTTTTTTTTTTTGTCAAACATAAATATCTGAATTAAAAATGATAAATAGTCGCCAGCAAGTTATGACTTTGAACGCAAGATGCCAAGTTATGACTTCTACTTAAAAGATGTGACATGAAAAAGCGTAATAATGGTTAATTTAACATTACCACCAACAACTCTTAGGCTAATAAACACTCTAATTCGTTGGATAAACATGAAATAATGAAATATATTATATGGTTGCGGCTTAGCTGTAGTTTTGAGTAACTCTCCACAATCTCATTGACATGTTTTTTTAGAACTCCCACTTGACCAACTTTTTTCAAACAAAAGTCATTGTTTATAATCGTTATATAACCATTCCGATCCAAACTACGAAGACCTTTCGGATAAAAATGATAAAAATCATATATATATATATATAAGTTGGTTATAAGCTCTATATCTTCTATTTTATAGGTTAATAATACATTTATTATTTAATTTTACATATTTGATTATACGTACTATTTAATTTTACATATATATATTTGTACTAATAAAAACTTTATTTTATTATTGTATGAATGAAATTATTTTTTGGTTTATATACTCCCAGGGTTTATTTTCCTCTAATTTTTGTAATCTTAATTCAAAATATGAATGAATATAGTATAATGGAATAGCTAATGGTTTGAGTAAGTTCATTTCTTAAATTTTTATCTATATAATATACCATTGAGGATGTGAAATGCGTAAAGAGCTCTATCATCAAATTTCTAGGCTTCTATAATCCTAACATCACCATCTATAAAACAAAAATTGTTTAAGAATTGTGTGTATGATGCATTGTTGAGAATATTGCTACAAAAAGTATTTTAATACTAAAAGTAGTTATTCATTGCATGAATGAATGATTAGATAAGTAAAATTATATTTATCAAAATATAATATTAAATAAATTAATACAAAAAAACCGCGGCGTAGCACGGATGATCACCTAATTATTCTTAAAAGCTAAAACATAATAATTTATTAACGGATAAGAGTATGCATAGAATACAGTGGAGAATTTTTGTTTAAATAGCCTAATTATTTTTTTTTGATTTTTTTCTTTTAGTTATGTATAACTATATATTATTACTCAAAATTATCTGAATTATTCACGTAATCTAAAATTGTCCGTTGTTATATATACGATTATCCATCAATTTTTTTGATAGGCTAATATCCGATCTATTTTTTTTTTTTTTCAAAAATACACTATGTATAGTATTTTTAGATATCCGTATTACTCGTATAGGACAAGTATCCACTACTTACTATTATTTGACCTTAAGGCCTAAAATGGACGCTCATAATCGTTAAATGTTTGGTCCAACCAACTTATCACATTTATAAAAGGAAAAAAACAACAAACTTCCATGTATTAGAGTGACAAAAAATGGCTAGAGGATGAATAAATAGACTAATACTATAACGTACAAACTATTAATAGATAAATCTTGGACGATGAGGAAAAGTACAAAGAAAAATGATGGAATTGGTGTTGAAGATGAGAAGGTGCGCAATCTAAATCAGGAACCACAGACGCCGTCGTTTTCAATCAACTAGACAGAAAAACAAAAGACATGAACCACTATAGTGAATAGTGTTTGTTTGTGTGTTCTCACCAACCAAGTATATGATGATTCTTTTACTTGAAGAAGACATCAACCAAACACACACATTAATTAACAGAATAAAAAAGGGACGTTTTGTTTTGGGTCCGATCTCTTCTCCACTTATTGTTTCACGAACGGTTTTAGAGATTTGACTAATTAATACAAATCAAATTATATACCGTTATGTTATCCTCCAACATGTTATTTATGATTAGTAAGGTGTTGTTTCTTGATTGAAATCTTGATTAGCATATTTCTAGAAGTCTTTGATCATTTCAAAAAGGAATGATTTGAGATGTAGATCGTTTGTTGGACTTGGAAATTTTACTATTTCTTTTGCAACAATTCTCATTCTATAGAATATATTTATGTGAAACTTTAACAACAAGCATAAGCATGACTTAGAAAGAAAAACAAAAACAAATCACTAATTCAGATCTATAAACTGAAAAGAATGATTGTAGCTTTAGACACAGTTTGATTATAGTTTAGACAATTTGTTATATTATATTGCTACTGATGTCTAATTAGGTTAAACTCCATTTATTTTGGAGGTAAATCCATAATCTCTACGAATTTACTTCATGAATATCGGATCGTCAAAACCCTATCAAAACAAACGGATTAAACTTCCGACTATTGGTATATAAAGATAATAAATTTCACGAAAGTTAGATTACATGGTACATCACAATTCAAGATGTGCAGTAGCATCTCCACCTACTCCTAACCACTAACCCAATTATTCTATTTTGCATTTATTTGTTTACACTTGGGTAGGAAAAAAGGAAAAAAACTATGATTTCATGTCTTATTTTTTGTTATTAAATTAAGTTTTGAATACTATAGATGAAACTCCTAAAGAAGCCTCACGTTCTTACTATTTATTTTTCTTAATGATGACGTATTCTAAACTTGTTTATAGTTATCGAAAACATGATTTAGAAGTTTGAAATTCATTGGCCAACCTCTCCACTAAATTTCGTCCTATGTAATAGATTTTTGGCTTCACTTAACAACGGATGTTGTGTTCTCTATTTCACCACCACTTGTGCTTTTTCCACTGTGTAAATATTACCATCTTAGTTTATCATATCTTATTATTATCATTATAGTATCATATAAATAAATAATCTCATTCCCAGTAATTAGTAAAAATGTATAATTGGAGGTTTATATATATACAAACAGACTTTGACCTAAACCATAGTCATAAACCGGAAAATAGACATTGGTTTATACTATACCAGTTCACGGATTCAATGTATAAAACCGATTAACTATACAATCCTGTAAAAGTACAAGGACTGAACTATGTAATAATACTAAACATAAAACTTAGTTTAGTTTTAACGTCAATGTAGAGATCTTTATTATAAGTTAAATGTTCAACATCAATACATAGTCCATATGCATAACAAAATTTAGAACTTAAAGTATGAATTTTTTTTATTATAAACTAAATTTTTATTTTAATATACTCATACACACACTGATTGAGACAAAGCTCTTTGCAATTGTTCGCTAAAGGTTTTTATCATATGTTTGTGATAACTTCATCCATGTCTGCAACTCTCATGCCTACAACTGTAATCATAGGTAAGTCGAATCCCCACTTCTCTCAACTTCTGACAGAACTAAGCGAGAGCAGTAATACATGGTCGATGATAAAAAATTTGCGTGAACAAAAACAATTGTAAAATTATCGTCATATATGAGAAAATAGTTTCTTTTCCAATAACTATATGAAATTTTTTAATTTGAAAATCATAGATGAGAAAATGAAAAACCATAATTGATTGGTTTGGGTGTTGGGCTGATGGGTTTAAAAATTTATTTTCGAGTCATGCACTTGCAATTAAATCTAAAACATTTTCCCATCAGTTTCGACCACTTAAAATCCCAAAAAATTATATTAATCAAAAAATTTGGTTATTTTCGATTTCTATACTCAGAACCGAATCGAACCGAACCGACATCTATATCGGTTAAGTTGGAATAGTTTTCAACCGGAAACCCGATTAAACCGATTCGAATAACCGAACTCGCATGACTCTTCAAGAACATGATTTATGAACATTATTTGTTTTGCATATAGTTGATTCTAGCTAATGTGGTGAAAGGCAATCATATTACGTTTGGTGATTCTATCAAGTACAGTGATGACGAATGGACCTTAGTAGGACAAAGAGAGAATATGTAGATCAGCAGCAGTGCAGATGATAGGATATTGCTTCAAAAGATGCATGGGGACATAATTTGCAGAAGGAATATGCATAAATAACATGAAGATATTGTTAAGTATGAGCTTTTTCATGAACTAAAGTGCCTTGATAATTCCATTTGATCCACAAATTTGGGCTATTGGTATATATATGAAGCTAACTTTATCTAGATTACATGCTACATCTCAATTCAAGATGTCCATTTATTAAAGAAAAGGCATGACTTTATCTTCGACTAGAAACTGGTGATGGACCATCCTAAACCTCCACTAGCATCATCTCCACCTACTCCTAACCACTAACCCAATTATCCTTTTCACTTTTTCCTCTCAACATTATCCTATATATTTTTAGGTGATATATGGAAAAGAAAAATACTCCAATTTCATGTCTTTTTTTTTTTTTTATTGAATTGAGCTTTGATACTATGGTTAATATGGATGCAAGAAACTCACGTTCCTACTATTTTCTTTTTCTAAATGATGACGTTTTCTCAACTTATTATTTATCGTAGTCTAATCCGTTATCGAAAAAATAATATAGAAGTTTGAAATTCACTGGCCAAACTCTTTCACTAAATAAAATTTTCATTTGATAATGTCAATTATTAATTATAAAAGACCGGTACTCGAATCTAACCATTACCTACCTGATACACACACCAAGTTCTGAATCTAGAAAATGATCTTGTCTCATTTGTTTATCGACTAAAGAGTATATAAAAGCTGGAATCATGTGGGTCATCCATCATTAATCGTGTTCTTCAATTCACCAACTTCGTAGGTTCTGCATCTTTTGTACTTTTTTCTAATTTTAATTTAGCAATATAAAGAAAAAAAATATATATATTCACCTTTTAAAAGGTTTCTTATATGCATGGTATCACAAGAAAACATTGAATATTGAATCATCTATCTACCAATCTCTTGAAGTTGAAACTCAACTTAAACGTCAATGTTATGTTTTGCTTCAATCTAAAGAAACTTGTACCAAAATTAAAGTAAAAAATATTTTAAACTTGTTATTATTTTTTAT